TTTATTCTTTTCGATCTAGTACCAGAATAACTGCGAACCATTCCATTCAATATGTCGAATAAGGCACGCAGGAGGAGATCATTACCATGGAATGAGTCAACTTGATCTGAGATGCAGCTTTCAGCATGTTTTCGTTATATCATAGATATCCAGGTTTATTGGCGCTGTAGAGGCAGTGATTTGGATTATAACGTATTCTACAAAGTCTCCGTGCCCATTTGAAGTATACATATGCTTTGAAAGGATTACTTTGTTGGCTCCTACCCCCACTGAGTGTTAACAACAGCTGCTGTGGGTTTATGTATTTCCTCGCCTTTTTGGATAAAACATCGCCGCATTCTTTTTGGGTAGGAGACCAGTTGGTGGATTATAAATGATATCCAAGTAACTTTTATCTTTTCATGTGGTGTTGCGGTAAGTTTCTACCTTGTTTTCTCATATTTCATTCGTATGTTGATTATGGTTCGCCCTTTGTATCAGGTAGACATAGTTTGATCGACTCTTGGTTGAATGGGTGTTATTGTCATGACTGCTGCTTTTTTGTCTGGAATTATAAATAGAGACAAAACAAACAACAGGTGTAGTCTCTGAGTTCATACATTAAATGGGCCTATGATTTCTGAAACTCTTACATGGGAATTACCATTGGTATCAATTACAAACTCACTTAGTGTGTCATTAAGTGCCTTTTCAAAGGAGGCCAATGTGCTTGCTAGTCGTATTTTCTCAGGTAGTTTGTTCCATATTTGGGCATACCTAATCAAGAAAAACTTTTGCCTGGTGGCTGTTTTACATGGTTCTATAGCCACTGTACCTTTAGTGTGCCTAAGGTTGTATCCTGTGTTACCTGAGGACCGAGTATAGTTAGCAGGGGTATACACTATTTGGTTAAGAAGCTTATAGAAGAGTAACAGATTTAGTCGCAGTCGCCTTAACCATAATGTTTCTAGTCCCAGGATTTCACATCTGGTAGAGTAGTTTGTGCCGTTATCGGTTCCGAGTACTTTTCGCGTGAAGTACCTCTGTACTCCTTCTACTTTCAGTTTGTCTTCTATGCGTGTACTGCTGAATATGAATGAGCAGTAATCTAGGAGTGGGCGCACACATACCTTGTACAGTAGTATTCTGGACTCGTTTCTGTAGAAGTTCCTGAGTAGGAAACCAATAAGCCTTCGTGATTTCGACACTTGATTCGAGATATGCTCTGAAAATGATAGATTGTGTGAATATTTCAGTCCTAGGTCTAGTACAGATTTGAGTCTGGGGATTTTGTGGCCCTGAATTGCTAGGTTGAGGTCAAGGTTGGAACAGCCTATGCAGAGCCATCCACACTTTTCAACATTAAACTCAAGTCTCCACGTGTCACACCATCTATCCATTTTTGCTAATTCTTCATGTATGGAGTTCATAGTTGGGCCGATATCTGTATTTGTGCAGGTATATGTCACCTTCAAGTCATCTGCATACAGTATTGGCTTGCCTATACTAAAACATTCACATATACTGTTTATGTATATAATGAAAAGAAGGGGTCCCAATACACTCCCCTGGATGACACCACTGCTGATTGGTCTAGGTCTGGAGGTCATTGAGCCAACTTTAGTTGTCTGATTCCTGTCATACAGAAATGATTTTATCCAATTGTAGAGGGGGTTGCGTATCCCTAGTGAGCATAGCCTACCGACTAACAGACTATGTGGGACTCTGTCGAAGGCTTTCCTTATATCGAAATAGAGGATAATCACTAGCTCTCTCCTATCTCTTCTATAGGTGACTTCGTTGAAAAAGTCTATATGGCAAGTGACGCAAGATCTTTTCTTGAGGAATCCGTGTTGTGACAGGTTGATGAGTTTATGTTTTAGAAAGTAGTCTGACATTTGGTCTTTGATTACTTTCTCCATGATCCTTGATATGACTGGTGTTATATTGATAGGCCTATAATTACATGCACTAGTTTTGGCCCCTCCTTTATGCTTAGGTAATATATATGTGTTTTTCCAAGTTTCAGGGTAGGTTTCGGTCACTAGTGAGATATTAAATATTCTAAGTAATAATACAATCATATCCGTACCACCGTTTTTGTATATGACGGATGGTATATCGTCTATCCCACAACTACTGTTAGCTTTTAATGTCCTTACCGCCGATGCTATATTTTGTATATTAAAGTTTATTTCACCTAACTTGTAGTTATTTTTGCAGGTTATGTCGAGAATTGGGGACGGATGTGCTTTGGTGTTATTGGAGAACCACTCACTCAGGAGTTCACTAATGATCTGGGGATCATCATAAATTATATCTTCGTGTTCTAAATGACTGATATTGTTTTCTTCACCCTTCTTCAGCCGTTTTTGCAAGATTTTGCAGAGTTCCTGGGTTTTAGAGGTGCCCTCTAGGGCTTTATTTTCCTCGACTTGTGCTTTCATTTTATGTCTCTCATCTAAATTTTTAAATATTTCGTGTATCAGGTGTAATACATTAAATTCTTTGTATAAATAAAATCTCCTTTTTAGTTTCCTTAGTTTTATTCGCGTTTTGCGATCTATGAACAGAGTTGGTGTCTTTAGGACAGATTTCAGGGGTGCGATTGTGTCTCTTACCGAACTGATTGTCTTGTAGAAGGTATTTAGTATTACTTCTAAGTTATTATTGGTGAAGTATTCACCCCAGTCTGAGCTTCTCAAGAGCAAGTTCGCTAGTCTATTACATCTCACCCCTAGAATAGAGCAGTCTGAGAGCAAAATGCAATCATTAATGACGAGTGGGCCTCAGAGAGGTGGAAATCGAGAAGGCTCCATGATGTATAGTAATGCATATAGACCTAGTGAGTGTAACAGGTTTCGTAGTACATCCTCAACAGATAAGTTACGAGATGCAAGACAAACACGGTTGTGTTTTACACGTTTGCAAGAGGTGCATACAAAGGTGAACTGTGAACCAGTGAGCAAGTTCAGTGATAAGCTAAATGTAAACTCCAGGCATGACTCCGAATTGTGTGACGATAACGGTTTGGTCAGGAAGTCTGTAGTTGCAACTGGTAAGTCATTGTTGAATAGAGTGTCACAGAATAGAGTTGCTGCTTCAGAGTGCAGTTCTGACTCCACAATTTTACAAGGTATTACTAGTCAGAGTGAAGTTATAAAACCTTTTAGGATTTGCGAGGAGGAACCAAAATTGTCTACTTCTGTTATTAAAGAGTTTGAAAATGATGAAGTTGACGGTAAAGTGAATATTCGTGATAATGATCATGATACTTCACAGTTGTCTTTGGTTGATCATGATGAGATGAGGGATATGCCTACTACTGCTCAGTTGAACAAAGTTTCTGTACAACTTGAACGTGAAGTAGAAACAAATGCAGATGCAGTTGCAGAAGGCATGCATACTTGTGAGACCGTCAGTGTAAGTGATCAGCATGTAGCCCACCTATCATCAGATGCTAGTGCTAAACCTGAGCTGATAGTAAAATACAGCAGTGGTGGTGGTCTTGCATGTAGACAAACTTTTGAAAGTCGAGCAACAACAGCTTTTGATCCATCGCTAACTTCATCAACTGATATCAATCAGTCGTCGTTGGTGCTGTCATCCACAATGAAACAGACGCCCATCATCTCAAGTATCTTGTGCAATGACTATGCTAGTATCAGTTCGTTTGAAAGGACGAATATCAATGGTCAGTTTAGTGAGGATAAGCCAAGTGTAAACGAGAGAGTAATAGTCAAATTGACTTGCACGAATAAAGGCATTTCTAGTTTCAAGTTACTAATTGAATGTTATTATCTTTGGTGTAAATTAGTCTATGCCTACGCTTGGTTGACCAGATACGTCGGGTGTTTGTTCGTCATCTATGTTCTACGATACAATGACATGAGCATGTTGCCATTCAGATTTGAGGATATAGACGATAGAAGGAAGTCAGCAAATGAACTCTGCGATGATTTTCCAACCTAGGGCGTCAACCTAAGAAGGGTTGTAGGCGTACTGCTGTAAGTCCTACAAATCTTCAAAGGGTAGCGCATCAATGAGTAGTGCAATGTGCTTGGTGTGTGATTTTGTACATATGTTCATATTGTATATACTGAATTGATATCATCTGTCATCTAGCTGTTGGTAATTCTGTTTGTGTCCGGACGACTTCCACTTGGATCATCAACCTGAGAAGGAATGTAGGCGTACTGCTGTAAGTCCTACAGTTCTTCAAGGGTAGTTTGTCGTGCCAAAATCCACAACATTTGATGTAGTGATTGTACATATGTTTGTGTTAAATAATTGTGTGACTTCCAATTATTGTAATTGTTGGTTAATCTTGTTTGTGTCCGGACATTCCACAACTTACAGTCGTCAAACTGTGAAGGGTTGTAGGCGTACTGGTGTAAGTCCTGCGATTCTTCAAAGGAATTCCATCAAGACATGATCGGCGAGTTTGTGTGTACTGTTTGTGTATACGTGTGGTGTGTCATATCAATTGGTGGTGTTTTGGATTCATTGTGATTACTCGTTGTTTTCGTACCTTGTTGTTATTGCATAATTTTGTTAAAATTTTCGTCGTGATTACTTCTGAAGTTGTTTCTAGTCTTCTACATCCGTGAATGAATTGATTGATGTTAAGGACAGCAGATGGGTCGTATACGCCGGGGAGGCTAGGCTATTGCTGAGAATGAAATGCACACGGAGATAATTGTTAGCTGCGGTCCGACACGCCGGGGAGAAAGAGTGTAAACGACTGAGGCTCGCATGCGTCACCGCTACTAGAACTGAGGCAGAATGAGTGACAAGCGATTGCAGTGGTAATTGGTAGTGAGTAGATAAGAGGATGTGCGTAGAGTATCGTGAGGTGGTGCCATGGTCACGTTGTATTCTGCAAGAGTCATTCTAGCAAGTGGCGATTGTGTTGCAAGAGGATGCCTTTAACTCGAAGGCGCAGGTCGTCATTGATGTGTGAGATTGTGCTGTGAGTATGCTTGTGGTGTGTTGGCTTTTCTGTTTGTTTTCCATTTCAGCTCTGTCCGTGTGACCCAGGTTCTCGCAATGGCATCCAAGTCAACGTGCATTGGTCGTGAAGGAAAAAAGGGTTGGATCCCTTTTTTGCCAGGGAGTGTCAATGGAGTTGAAGATTGAACGATCAATTCATGGTTGTTTGCTCAAAACCAACTTCCCCAATTTTCGCGGAGGCATCAATACGACAGTCATCGTCTCATCGGTCGCTGTTCAGGAAGAAGAGTAAAACACCTTCAGAAGTAATATTGTGATTTATTAATGTAATATTTGTTCACAGACCTTAGTCATACGTGATTTATATGTTGGTGTAACAATAAAGAATCCTCGAGTCAACAATTGGTGTTTTGGTTTATTCGTCCGTTATTACTAAGCGTTTCTGAAAACTTCAAGGAACAGCGTGAGCCCGAGCGTAGCAAGCGCTGCGCATTAACGGTTTACGGGACGTGGCTGACACTCCCGGTTTGACTTCTGAAGTGCGCGCTTGAGTGTATCAACAAAACGCTCTGCTTGTCCATTCGACTGAGGATGTTAAGTTGGGCTGCAAATATGCTGAACACCTAGCCGCTCACAAAACTGTTTGAATTGTTCAGCTGTGAACTGAGGTCCGTTATCGGAAACGATGATCTCTGGAACACCAAATCTGCTGAAAAGCTGAACCAACTTATTTAATGTTATCGTCGCTGCGGTATTTTGCATAATGAAAACCTCCGGCCACTTGGAATACGCGTCGATTATCACGAGAAACTGTTTGCCATTGATTGGGCCGGCAAAATCTATGTGGATTCTTGACCACGGTTTTCCTGGGTTGGGCCAAGGCTGTAGGTCTGTCTTGATAGGCATTTTCAAAGCCTGAGCACAGGGAGAACATGAGCGAACCATCGCTTCTAATTCACAATCGATATTTGGCCAGTAGACGTAACAGCGTGCCAACGATTTCATGCGGCCAATACCAGGATGCGTAAAATGTAGTTGACTCATGACGTTTTGTTGGAGACTTCGAGGCACGACCACACTTCGCCAAACATAGTGAAGTCATCGACCAGGGATAGCGAATGTCGTAGTTGATAGAACTGTTTTAAATCTGGACAATCAATACGCGAGGGCCAGTCACAACTCAAATACCGCTGAACTGGCTGTAATGTCGGGTCACGCTGCGTCTCTCGTTGGACTATGTCGGCTGAGACTGGTAAAGTGTTTATTGCCGTCATCAATACGTGGCACAGGTCTTCATCGACAGAAACGCCGGTGATCACAGCGTCCTCCTTTGCGGGCTTGTTATAGCTGAGTAAACGCGAGAGGTCATCTGCATTCCCGAAATTCTTTGTAGACATGTACTTGATCTGAAAGTCGTATCCTAGTAGCACAGTCGCCCATCGTTGGAGTCAGTTGGCTGTATAGACTGGAATACCTTTCTTGGAGCCAAAAATCGATAATAGTGGTTTGTGATCAGTAAAAAGTGTGAACTTTCGGCCAAGCAGTATTTTGTGGAACTTTTGAATCCCAAACACGAGCACTAATCCTTCCTTTTCGACCTGACTGTAATTCTGCTCTACCTTTGTCAAGGTTCGCGATGCATATGCTATTGGCTTTTCAACACCGTCTGGAAACACATGTGAAATGACATCGCCAATACCATAGTTGGACGCGTCTGCAGCTAATGTTATGTCCAGCTTTGGATTGTAATGTGTTAACAGCAGGTCAGACTGGAGTAATTTCTTGACTTTGATGAAAGCTTGTTGGCATTCTTCTGACCAGTTCCATTTAGCATTCTTCATGAGCAACTGATTCATTGGGGGCCCTGAGACGATGAAAATCTGGCAGGAACGCACTATAGTTACTGATCATCCGCAGGAAGGGCTGCAATGTACTGAGATTATTAGGGGCAGGCATCTGTTGAATTGCTGACACACTGGAGGGGTCGGGTTTGCGACCATCTTTGTCAAAAATGAATCCCAGGTACTTCACTTAAGTCATGAAAAAATTGCACTTATTCGGACGTAAATGGAAACCGGAATCACTGAGTATTGTCAGGATTTTATACAACCGGTTGAAGAGTTCGAATTGAGTTTCTCCTGTGACTATGATATCACCGAGGTAAACGGCCACTCCTGATACACCAGCTAATATTGCATCCATTATCTGTTGGAATATAGCAGGAGCAGGTTTAACACCATATGGAAGTCGCTGGAACTGATACAGTCTTTTGTGAGTGTTGATTGTCAGAAGCTCTTTAGAATCATCTTCGACCTCGATCTGTAGGTATGCCTCAGCTAGATCAAGTTTACTGAGGTATTTACCGCCAGTTTGACAAATAGATCTTGCAGTACTGGTAGTGGATACGGTTGATCTTCAAGGGCATTAGTGAGTCCTGTTGAGAAATCAGCACAAAGTCTGATTGTACCGTTTGCTTTCTTGACAACCACTATGGGGGCTACCCAGGATGAGTAGTCGACTGGCTTGATTACGTTCAACTTTTCTAAACGATCCAGCTCTGCATCAAGGGACGATAATGCGTTATACGGTACTGGGCGTTTTGGTCTAAAAACTGGTTTGGCATCAGGTTTTGAGGTATAGTCTGGCTTTTTGTACGGTACAACAACCCAAAGACTCTTGAAAAACGGCAGCGTGTTTGGTGTGAAGATGACTGTTGAGCTTTGCGGTCGAGTTCGGATGCATCAACATGTTGGTAGGACTATCTGACCACTGTACATTGGAACAAACTGAGTTCAGTGGGACATCCCAGAGTTTCACCTTTTCGATCCAGTCAATACCAAGCAAGTTCAAATCATGACGATTCATGATGTAGCATGTTCCTCGAACGAGGTCGACCGGAAAGTTACGTCGCATTCAATCTGGCCAGATAATTTCATTACGTCACCCGACGCGTTTCTTGCAGTATGCTCCGTTCTCTGATAAGGTGGACACCCGAGTGCCCGCCACGTCTGGGGAGATATGATTGTGATATCAGAAGCAGTATCTAACTGTGTTCGAACTGGCTTCTGGTTGATAGAAAGTGTGACAAACTTTCTTTTTGACTGGAAGTCAACTTTGAAGGTAGCAAACATACTGATGATTTGAGGTTTCGTCGACCGAGATCGAAACTTTCGTGACCGTGCCATAGTATTGTGAGATCGGATTGATCTAGATTTCACTGGGGGACAAAATCCTTCCTTGTGACCATACTTGTTACAGATACTGCATTTATGTCTTTTATACGGGCAAAATTTACCAAAATGCCACGATCCACAAAACCAACAATTTGTGGGAGGCTTGTGTTTGACTTGCAGAGAATTGTTTGACTTGACAGACTGAACAGAAGTAAATTCACGAACTTGACCGTCTTCAATCAACTTCGTGTCATGCTTTAGATTGATGATTCGCAGGCACTCAGCAGTTACCTCCTGTAAAGTCATGTCCGGTTTGCGTTCAATCTCTGAAAGGATTCTGGTACGAATATCATTATCAACTGAAGATTTGAGACCGAAGACAAAGATCAAGCATTTAAACTGGTCATCCGTAAGTGATCGAAATTTCGATCGCTCGCATTCACGATTCACCTTACCAGCATAGGTGAGAATATCATCTCCTGGATCTTTGGATATCTTAAAACAATTGTAACGGATACTGAAGAGAGATAACTATTCACCGAAAATATTGGTTACCGTTTGAACAGTTTCTTCAAAGTTGATTTCTCTGGAGTTCTTTGGTAGAATATGATTGACATATCTGTTATGTTCGGCTGGACGAAGTTTCCGAAGGAGTAGTCTCACTTTGGCCGAATCATCTAGGTGAGCTCATTCAACCCGGAACAGATCTACATAACGTCTAAACCAAGCTTCAAACGTCACGCCTGTTGAAGGTTCGAAATTGAACCCTACAATTGAACTCCCAATAGATTCGGTTTTCTCTGAGTTGGAACTGCCGAGATTTTGAATTGAAAACTGCTTTGTAAGTTTTTCAATCAAGCTGAGCTGGCAAGCTTCAAACTGTTGCTGTTGTTGATGAAGGAGAAGTTGCATTTGTTCAAATGTAATTGTCATTTGGAAGACAGGCTGGATGTACGCTGGATGATCTGGGTTTTATTTGACTGTACTGAACTGCAGTGGATTCGAAACCCCGTTGCCGATTGTTATGATGCTAGATCTTTGTCTCGAGGTAACTGCTTAACTACTGACCAGTGCCCAATTATTGGTATGTTCCTGCATAAACAGGAAGAAATATATATTATTATTATTAACTGGTAAAGCAGAACACGCGATAATCAGTGGTAAGACCAGAATCATTTATTTATGACAAAAGTGACTGTATCTATACAAAAATGAGGTAGACTGGAAATCAACCAATCCGGTTGAGAGTTTGGAATTGTGCAAGCATCCAATCAGAAAACAGAAACAAATGCATTTCAACGACATGATAATAACTCGATAATTGCATGTGTTTTGCCTCTTCCTAACACATATGCTTGAAATGGGGATAATCCGTCCATTCAGCAGCCCGTGGTCCTCACCTTTGCACCTGGTACCCAAGAATAACTGTTTAGATTGGTGACCTTGTGGCGATTACCACAGGTTAAACCTACAAACTGTTCCCGATCGCTACCCTGCCCCTCACATACACGATCCAACATTGTCACTCAAGGGAGCTAGGGTATTTAACAAGCTGGACCTAACACGGGCTTACTACCAGATTCCCGTCGACCCCGAGGATACTCCTGAGACCACTGTGATTACGCTGTTTGGCCTTTTCGAATTTCTTTGAATGCCTTTCGGCCTACGGAATGTCGCCCAAACTTTCCAGCGGTTTATCCACGATGTTTTGCGCGGTCTCGATTTTGCCTTTGCATACCTGGATGATATTTTGGTAGCTTGTTCAGATGAGGCAACACATCAACTTCATTTGCAGACCGTTTTTAAAGGCTTATGATGCACTCCCTCACACTCAACTTGGCGAAGTGTCGCATTGGAGTCACTTCTTTGAATTTCTTGGGACATGTTATTAACGAACATGGCATTTACCCATTACGTGACAAGGTACAGGCCATACAAGATTTCCCAGAGCCTACGTCCACAAAATCTTTGCGCACATTTCTCGGCATGGTGATTTATTACCGGCGTTTTGTTCCTCAATGTGCACATATTTTACATGCACTCACAGACCTACTAAAGGGTAAGTGCAAGGCACTCAGCATGACACCAGAGGCTGAGGAAGCGTTTCAAAAAATTAAGTCGGCGATTGCAGACGCCACCACGCTTGTACGCCTAGACATCCAACTTCCGCTTAGCATTAATGGCACTTAATGACACACTAAGTGAGTTTGCAATTGATACCAATCGTAATTCCCATGTAAGAGTTTCAGAAATCATAGGCCTTATTTAATGTATGAACTCAGAGACTACACCTGTTGTTTGTTTTGTCTCTATTTATAATTCCAGACAAAAAAAGCAGCAGTCATGACAATAACACCCATTCAACCAAGAGTCGATCTAACTATGTCTACCTGATACAAAGGGCGAACCATAATCAACATACGAATGAAATATGAGAAAACAA